TCAAAGTAATTACTTACTTTTTGCAGTATGAGTGAACGCAATATTAGGTAATAATTACAAAAAAAAATGAAATTCGAAAAAAAAACATTCTAAAACTTTCTTCTTTTTGAGAGAATTTTTGAGAGAATGAAATGTAGAGCTGTATTCATTTCGTTCGTTTTTAAACCTAATGTTGGATCTTCGAGAAACTGTTCGTTAGTTTTTCTTTGACGAACTGTTTTTTAAAAGTGTTTCTGAATAAAACGCCCAGTACTACTTCTTGTTGAGCTAGCCGTAGAGCTCTGAGGTCGCGCGTACGTTTTGCTATAATTGCCGCTTCGAAGCCCGTGACATTTATACTTTGCGAACCTTATGGCTCCTCTTCACGATCGGCCATGATGGGCGATTACACGCGAGCACGATCGTGTAGAGGGGCTAATCGCCTGTATGTCGTCCTCAATCGTCGTTGATCGTCGTCGTGATCGTGGCGATCGGTGCCTTGTCGGTTTTTAGGGCACAAATCAAAGGGAATCGCTTGTAATTGCGTGCGCGTGCCCACACGATCGCCGATCATTCATTCACTGGATGATAGAAGCAGTGCGTACGTCGCATCGTTTTTAAGTTTTTAAATAAAAGTGAGTGCGAGTGCGAAACAATGACTACTGGGTGGTCAAATGAAGAGACATTCAAGTTTATAGAACTATATCAGAACCGAAAAAAGAAAGTTATAGCAAGACGGATTTTAACTGGTATAGAATCCCTCCAAGTAGTGTCTTGTTTTGCAACTAATGGGGATATTTTTTCAACTAAATAATTGAAATCGCTTAGCGACATGCGAAGAAAGTTTTCAAATTCCCCTGAAGGTTGCGCCAATAGCTCAGAGAGCTGATTATCCATTGAATGTCTGAAATAGATATTTATAGTGAGAACTGGGCAGTAGGATCACCTATTAAGTTGTATAGGTATATTTACTTTGTTCTATTACGATGAATGCTCAAACACCACCATCTTCTTTTCTTCCATTTTTTTTTTCGCAACTTTTCGGTTCAACTACATTGATATAATGATTGTATACGGAAATTAAATTAATGGTAGCTGCAGCTATAACCTCCACGTCCATCTTGAATGCTTGCCGCTTAATAAATGATCACTGACGATAGTGTGGATGCTTGCACGATGATGGTGGCCCTTGCCGATTACAGACGATCAACGAGTGTCGATCATGGCCGATCGTATAGAGGCTGCTTTACGGTTTGTCTTAATTCGTTTTTTTTTTTTTTGAAACGGAGCCTAGATTATATAATTGCAGTTGTGAACGTTTAAGTATTGCTTGCGACTGGCATACGGTTGTGCACGGCTGGTGTTTCGGTTGAAGGACAATAATACAGGAATTTTTACACTGTTTATTGCGTCGACGGGTTATTAGTGCTTCGTTGACAACGTAATAAGATTTGTATTATCGTGTTGAATGTTGGATTTGCGATCCCGCTGTAGATCACTCGCGATTATAGTTCGTGCTAAGCGACGTTGGACTTGGTTTACGATAACGAGAACGTCTTGTGGAGCGGTCAGCGTGGTGCAGCTATCTTCTAACGGTGACGTCAGGTTACACTGTATACTTCACATACCATACACTAACTACCATTTACTTGCCTCTGACGCCACCTCGTGGCAGATCCTACACTTCTGGAAGCCGGTAAGTTTTATATTTGTACTCCTAACCGCTAAAGTTTAAGTAGCCATAAGCCATTTTGGGCTCGACCTTTTGTTACCCGTCTATTTGGACTACTGCAGGCCCTAGTTCGAAGACTTTCGTCAGGGTAACTCCAGGCCGTAACAACTATTATTATTTAAGTCGTGTTCAAAGAAGAAAACCACAATATTGCATCTTAGTTGCTCTTTTCCACCACATTACGCTGTGGGCTTTAAGGCTATTACAATTTTATTGAAAGAGACTTATGAGTAGTTTAGCCTTTAAAAAAAAGCACACATACCTTTGGTAACTTTTTTTTTTATAGAATAGGGTGACAAACGAGCACACAGTCCACCTGATGGTAAGTGGTTGCTGCGGCCCATAGACATCTACATCTATCCTCCATTAAAAATCAAAATGCAGATGCGTTGTCACCCGTGAGGACTGAGATGGAATGCCTCGTTTCCAGCAAAAAGGGTCTCCGGTTCTCTACACTCACCATACGAAATACAGCAGCATTAAGCTACTATTTCACGCTGGTATTCTGTGAGAGCGTGGTCCTTCCCCGGTCGAGCCGACCCATTCGTACTACAACTATACTACTAATATAACTGCAGCATGGCTCTACCACGTAAAACTTTCAGAGAAATCCCACAACTGTTATTATTTAAGTCACTTTCAAAGAAGAAAACTACAATATTGCGTCTTAGTAGCCTTAAGGCTTTTACAGATGTTCTACTCACAAGTCTTTTCGACCGAAAGAGACTTATGAGTAGAACATCTGTGAGTAAGGAACTAAGTTTAGGAATATGACCTAATATAATGAGAAAGGATGACAGGTGTTAGTCAAGCAACAGTATGCGTATAAGAGGGACTTAATCGCAATTTGAAAGGCGATGATTACATGCTCTGCGTTAAAAAGCTTCAGCTTTCAAAAATTGTTGGAGGTTCGATAATTAAAAAATTCGATATAATATATAATGCAATTAGTGTTTTGTTTTCTAAGTTATTTGGAACTCTGTACATTATACTAGTGAGTGAAGATATAGATATAGAGCACGACTTGTGTACACAAGCACAGAAGCACTTTGCATTTTCTCACTCTTATAGGCCAATGGAACGGCAATTCAAAATGATCGGAGAGAAATCAGGTGTAGTAATGGCTTTACGTGTTTTCTGATTCCGGGTTTCTACTGAGAATTTCTTGGCAGAAGATTTCCATAACTAATTCTTGTTGCCTCGACTCTTGTTACAAACCCGGCTTCATGATGAGCAGTGACGTTTATGATAAGTAAATCAACGGTGCAGTCAACTCAAGAAGTACTTTGTACCGGTATGCGGCGTATTGGGTGGCCTTTTATCAAATAATTAGACGGAGTTAAAAACCCTGGTAAGAGATGCAGGAGGTCGATGGATGCAGGTAGCTAGGGACAATTTTAGAGGAACGCAAAAAATTTACATCAAGCCAAATATCATTGACTTGCGACAATTAAGTTTATTAATTTGAATTTTGCTTGTAATTCGTTAATTTAAAATTGCATTTTATTAATTTTTTTTTCATAAATGCTTAGGAAAGGCTATTACATAGACTATACTCCCTTAGTGTTAGTGATAAGCCCAAAGTGTTGCCCCCTTCTAGCTCTTTTGTTTTTAATTTGTCTTTCATGCCTACCTCAAACATGATCTATGGAATTTCAGTCCAGCGAGCGCGCTGGCCATTCCATATCATTTATTTCAACGTCTCGAAGGTATTCGACACTTACGGCCGCAGTATGAGGGTGTGCATTATCATGCATGAAAACAAATCTTTTTCCTATAAAGGGGGCAAATGACACTACAATTTCTTCCAAATTTTCAATTACATATCGTGCCGCTGTTAGTGATTCATTCTTAGTGACGCTAAGTTCCGTACGAGCTCCATATAAATATCTCTCCATACCATAACTGACCCTCCACCATATACCTCTTGTCCAATGGTGTTGCACAGAGCGTACCTTCCTCCCAGGCGTCTCCACACTTTAATCCTTCCATCATCTGGCTTCAGATCTTCGCCTTTAATCCTTCCAAAATCTGAACTCATCTGTGAATAGAACTTCATTCTAAGCTTCGTCATTTCTATTTTCGTCATTGCGAGCGAAATTTTTTGAGTCATTCGATGGCATGTGACAAAAAGGGGGCCTTTGTCAAGCAAGTGTGATTTTTTCAGTAATTTTCTCACAATATGAGGGGTCGGGGTTTCTCTGAGTGATAAACTTCGAAATGAAGATATCTGCAGTAGAACCAAAGTAACTGACATACCCCAACTGATTAGTAAGGTGAGGTGGCAATGGGCTGACCATATTACTCGAAGAACCGACAACCGGTGGGGAAGCAAGGTTTTCGAGTGGTAGCCTCGTACCGGTAGGCGAAGTGACCTGGTAAGATATGCAGAAAGTCGATGGATGCAGGTGGTTCAGGACCGTGCTTTCTGGCATTCTTTGGGGGAGGCTTATGTTCAGCTGTAGACTCGTGAAGGGCTGTAATAATGATGATGAATGTTTGGTCCACATGTTTGTAGGTGTACTTAGTTTCAATTAAAGTGACAGCCTTAGAAACTTGAGTGACTTTTAGATTTAGCATTCTGTTTATTTGCAGTAACAATTCACACAACACAGAAATTTAATCTCAAATTCAAAGTAATTACTTACTTTTTACAGTATGTGTAAACGCAATATTAGGTAATAATTACAAAAAAACAAATGAAATTAAAAACATTCTAAAACTTTCTTCTTTTTGATAGCTCGACGGAGAAGGACCACGCTCTCAAAGAATACCAAAATACGTAGCAGCTTAACGCTGCTGTGTTTCATATGGTGAGTGTAGAGATCCGGAGACTATTTTTTACTGGAAACTAGGCATTCCATCTTAGTCCTCAGAGAGGTCAATGCATCTGCGTTTTGATTCTTAATCGAGGATAAATATCTATGGACCACAGCATCCACTTACAATCAGGTGGACTAAGTAATAGTTTTTTACTCTTATCCTATAAAAAAGCTTTTAATACTTTTTGTCGCCACCAGGAGAAAAACCTTTTTAATTAAGGTTGCTCTAAAATCTATGAGCGTATTAGTATAAATTTTTTAAATATAAAAGTTACAAACGGCCTTACACACTCTTCCTAAAGGTAATTGCTTATTGAAGCACACACACGGACATTATTGCAATTTCAAGAGTGGTTACTCCAGGCTATTACCGGAAATCCGCATAATCAACAGTCGCGCTTCCGAGCACTCGTGCTCGGCAACGACGCAGTGAAAGCGGAGTATTAAAAAGCAGGCGATGGCGGCAGGTTGCGTGACGTCAGCGGTGCAGGCGCTGCTGGGCGTGCAGGCGGGCGCCACGGCGCTGCTGCAGCGCTCGCATCGCGCGCGCGTAGCGCGCTGGCTGGCCGCCGCACTGGCCTTCGCGCTCGCCGGTGCGCTGCTCGCCGGTTGCTCGCGCGACTACGGCCTGCTGCCCATCAACAAGAACTTGTGGTCCGTGCTCTGCCGCTTTACACATTCATTACACATTCGACACTAGCCTAATGCCAAGGTACGGATCGCGAACTCAAAAAGACGTGGTCGTGGTCCGCCATTCGACTACTGCCGTATGCCACTTCCTGCTGTGAGAGCGTGTTATCCTTACAACACGCTCTCACAGCACACCAACGTGAAATGACAGGTTCATGCTGCCGTGCCGTGTTTCATATAGCGTTGAGAACTTTCTTCTTATTAAAGTGCCATCTTCTTTCGAAGGTCGGCGATTATTAAGGCAACTTGGATCTTTGATGCCGTGGCTCTGAATAAGGAACGGGTGCTCTTTCTAAACCATTGGCGTAGGTTCAACAAGATGTTCTTCTTCACCCACACTTCGTTTCCTTGGATCTTGCCCTGTTAGAACTAACCTTTATTACAAACGATATTACCTCTTCCTTCAAGGCGTAAACGAAAAGGTAAGATGCAATGTGTCTAACAAAAGAAAAAAAAAGTACTTCTATTGTATCAAATTACGTGGTCGAGCCACCAGCAGCTATAAAGGTTGTAACAGAATATTCTCGAAACCATCTCACAAAATACCAGCGTAATAGCAGCTGTATGCTGCCTGTTTCCTATGCAGAGTGTAGAGAACCGGAAACTGACAAGGAGGTAGCCCCAAGATCGAAAAGTTTTCTTAATGAGATAAGAATTCTGCTTGTACTTGGGTCGACGAATGGATTAAAAATAAATAATTATAATACTGGGATGAACCAAACTTTATTTTTACACGTAAATTTGACAATAAAAGTATATAAATAAAGCGTACAATTTAAATTTTCTCGCTGCAAAAGGCCTAGGCTATATAAAGCTTATGCAAGCATTTACTACAAGTTTATGATGCATTAATGTAATGTTATCCTGTCTAGTTTTAAATATTACTAGCTTAGGATTCGTGACAATAAAAACTGCCGATTGAATTACCAAAATTGACACTTTAATTGTCAAACACCAATTAAAACTTAAAATACACTAATAATTAATCGCACTGATCACTTTAGTTCACTTTATTTTGCTCCGAAGCTTCGAAAATAGAAAATTCGAGTGTGAAGTTTAAAAAAAAGCTTAATCTTAAGAAAGCTTACTTCCTCTGTTCGATAATAGATGGCACTAGTGCCATCAACTGTGGCGCGCAACAGTATACTTAAAGGCCAAAGTAATCACCAGATGTGTCCAAGGGGAAACAGTATTCATATCACGAATACTTAATACAATCAGAATACCCCTTTGAGTTTCAGACATCCGTGTGCACAAAACATTGTGCATCTTTTGACGACATTTTTATTGCTTCCTTGTTTTTGGCATACATGATAATAAATAATATGTTTTTAAGGAATATTTGTTTTTACGTAAGGAGCTTTTTGTATACAACATTTGTGGCACGGCTCTCGTGTATTAAAATCACCAGACTACTTGGTGCACTTACTCTCGAACAGGCCATATAAAACTGTCCGTGAGAAAACAGCTCTCCCTTAAGTCTAATCTAACCATTTTCAATGACTGCCCTTTTGCTTTGTTAATGGTTATAGCGAAGCACACTTTCAGGGGAAATTGTTATCTCTTGAACTCAAAGAGGTAATCTGATGGTATTAAAGATATTCGTGATATGAAACCTGATACCCCTTGAGCACATCCGGTGATTACTTTTGCCTCCAAAACATTTGAATGGAGATTTTAAGTTCCTCAATAACATAACCGGTGCGCCCAGTTTAAGGGGGAGAATATGAGCTGGAAAGCCTGCTGGGCTAAGGGTATTTAAAATATCGACGGGATAATTTACTACATCATCAACTTGTATCACTGAATCCATAGATTTATAGCTGATTACTTCCCCTTTAAATGATTTTAGCAAAATACCATAATATCACCCGCTGTGTCATTTTTAGGCGTCAAAATAGCACGCTCGCATAACCAGTCTACGGGTTTTGTCATAATGCTAACGATGTCAGGGTAAACTTTGGCAGTAAACTCTGCAAGAGTTTTTACTACTATGGCCAGACTTGGTGGTATTACAATTTTACTATCTATTGTAGGATAATCTCCAGCGGTAGCATCACCTTTCAAAAGTACTCTCATATATGTCTTAGGAGCGAGCTTCTGAATATGAGGCCACAAATATGAAGACTTTAAGCACGACCTTATTTCATCTGCTCGTGTTCCTCTCGGTACTACCGGTAAGATTTCTCAAAAGTCTCCCGCTAAAAGAACTGTAACACCACCCATCAATGTACCATTTTCTATTATAACTCTCAATGTTCTCCTGAGAGCCTCCACGGGTCCTTTAAGGGCCATAGTTCACTCATCCCATATAATAAGTTTTGTTTCTTTCAAAACTTGCGCCATATTACTCTGCATTAAAATGTTACATAGAGGTGTCTCTACATCTTTGAGTATTACATGCATCAAATTTAAAGGCAATTTAAATGTAGAATACTTAATACCAAGTTTTATATAAATTGAAAAATGACTTTCTTTCATACTAATTATCAACCCCTATTTTACCCGTACTGAGGTAAAAAATGTAAAATACATATTTCTTAATTTTTATTCAAGAACCAAAATACCTAGCTTAAACATAACTTGAAAAATGAATTACTATCATACAAACATTTAACCTCTATTTAACCCCTTTGGGGGTAGAATTTTCAAAAACTGTGAAATACATACTTCTTTGTTTTTAATTTAAAGCCTAAATATCGAGTTTCATGGATATAACTTAAAAATTACGGACTTTCATACAAACTTTAACCCCCCATTTAACCCCCTTGGGGATCGAATTTCAAAAATCTTTCTTAGTGCTCGCTTTTATCATAAAAAACCTACTGTCAAAATTTCAAGTTTCTAATTTCGGTGGTTTAGGCTGTGCGTTGATAGACCAGTCAGTCAGTCAAGACAAGTCTTTTTATACTCGGAAGTATAGAGGAAGATTTATATCATGGTACAGACTTCCAGCGCCTATAAATAATAAATGTATATATAATATCTATTTTATATTTACATACACTAGTTAGTTAACTTTACCTCCCCGATATATATAATAATTTTAAATCCTGTCACACATATGCCCATATGTACAATGTATATGTACGGAACCAGAAGTGGTACTTTCAGATTTTTATATGTATAAGATAATCACATATGTATATGATAATCACATAATGCAGGAAACATCAATCTTTCATGATGAGTATTTATCTATGCGTTATAACTCCTGAAAAAAGTGGAATTCCTTATCACTCATCTTATTATTAGACACAGCAACGTCAATCCGTTTTAACGTTGGTATTTTGTTGTGATTTTCATTTAATGTTATTGTTATTCCAGGTCTATGTCATTCGTGTTGGTCACGACGGCATGTTCGCTGGCTTTGCTCAGCATTTGCTACACGTTCACGGACGCGTGGCGCATATGGGGAGGAGAACCGTTCCGGGCCCCGGGACTTAATGCAATAGCCTTATACGTCGGTCATTCTGTCTGCGCGCATTTGTTCCCGTTCCACTGGCGCATTCCCCACATGCGCACCCATTCGGTGTATCTTATTGAAGCCGTTTGGGGCACAGCACTGTGGGTGATCATTGCCCACATCATGGCAAAGAAGAAAGTGTTTATAACCCTCTGAGATTACGCCACCTACGATTCCGCATTGACTGTTAACATAGCTGAGTACGAGCTATTTTCTAACGCTCGTGTGAGAGATGTGAGGCAAGAAACTGACATTGTGCGGTTGCGAAATGCACGGGTTCCGACTGATAAGCAATATATACTCCCACGTTCACAGATTTGTACGCCCCTTTTGCCACGTAGACGTAATCGAAGACGTAATATAGTGTCTTTGTAGTGTAGCATGTTTGATTGAGTTTACACGTCGATTAGTCGTCCTACGTGAGCGAACTGAAAGCGGACGCGATGCGACGTGGCTAAGCTCTCCTATATGCCACTGCAAGTCAAGTATAGATGGATGGAATCGAATCTTAATGAAAAGCTCGGATCAACTATTAAATTATGTTGATATTTATACCGATAACATATACTGTTACGGTTATCGATAATGTTAGCAACTTTCTCTCCGTTTCTCTCTCTCTCTCTCTCTCTCTCTCTCTCTATATATATATATATATTATATATTTCTCTCGTTCACGATTATAATTGAAACAGTATATTCGTTGTGTCATAATTTTTGATATTAGAAATAAACGCAAATCGCAATTCGCGTTTAAAGCAAACTGAAATATCAACTGTGCTCTGAGCATGAATTTTCAATCGTGTGGAATTTATATAGCCATCGAGTAATGTCAAAGAAGTTCCACTTACCTCCGCCAGGGGCGCTGTTTATATGTAGTCGATGATGATATGAATATGTTAGTGTCAAAAACTTGAGATAAATGCACGGATCTCATTCATTCACGCTTTCCCGCGCCCACTACTCTTCGCATGTATTAATGCAATTAGTCCATTTAATCACGTACGCCTTTAAGCGACTGTAGGATTGCAACTACAGACATCATAATTTGCAAAGGAGAGCGTACAACTATTTGATAGATTTCGCTTACTCTTCGCGTTAAATTCGCTTACGTAAGACAACATGCTACCATAGAGATTATTACGACGACAATACTAAGAGAAAGATGCGCTCATTATAATTGTTATTTGTTATGGTGTGTATAATAGTATACCAACGTTTAGAAAGTAATATTAGCAAAAGGGATGGCTTTAAATTAATTCTACGCATTTCAAGTGCCGATAATTTATTTCAATATTGCTTTTTATTACTAAGATAGCAATACAGTTATTTTAAGAAGCACTTATGTAAACTCAAGACCGATTAATAATCTAAAATAAAGCGAGTTTAAATTTTGCACAACGTGAGCTTGTAATCATAGATAAAGAACTGCTTTTCTAGCATTTAAGACTGAGAGAATATAGAGAAGTCGTATTTTTGGCATTTTATTAGAGATTTAGTTTTTGTATATCTAAAAACTTTTAAATCTAGTCTCCATCGGTGTGTATGTAAAAGTATGGTAATAGAGTTAAGACGAGTTTGCATAGCATAGGAATAATTAAATAAGTTATATATACAATTGGTGTTTTATTAATTAAATTTTCATAATTTACTTCATTTGTATAAAAGCAAACGAGGGACGCGGCAGCTTAATACAAGTCTTAGAAGAGGTGACTACTGTAAGAATACGATTATAGACTGCGAGACAGTCATCAACCTTACACACCATGCCTTGGCGGTGCGTTGCGATGCCTAAGCGGTGACGTAGCATCGTCTTATGTATAAATGGCAGTGACGTCACACAGTGTGTCACCACACCGGTGTGCCCGTGTGCCTATGTGCCCGGTGTGCCTTTGTACCTGTATGCCTGTGTGTCCGCATGCTAGTATGTCGGCGAGCCCGTGTGCCTGTGTGCCCATGTGCCGATGAGCCTGTGTGCCTATGTGCCCGTGTGCCAGTATACTCGTGTGCCTATGCGCCCGTATGTCGGTGTGCCCGTGTGCCTGTGTGTCCGTGTGCCGGTGTGTACGTGTACGTGTGTAGCTGTGTGGCCTTATACCGGTGTGCCGTTGTGCCCGTGTGTCCGTGCACCTGTGTATGCGTGTACCTGTGTACCTGTGTGCTCGTATACCGGTGTGCCGTAGTGCCCGTGTGTCCGTATGCCGGTGTGTGCTTGTACCTGTGTACCTGTGTGCCCGTATACCGGTGTGCCGTTGTGCCCGTGTGTCCCTGTGCCGGTGTGTGCGTGTACCTGTGTACCTGTTTTCCCGTATACCGGTATGCCGTTGTGCCCGCGTGTCCGTGTGCCGTTGTGTGCGTGTACCTGTGTACCTGTGTGCCGTTGTGCCCGTGTGTCCGTGTGCCGGTGTGTGCGTGTACCTGTGTACCTGTGTGCCCGTATACCGGTGTGCCGTTGTGCCCGTGTGTCCGTGTGCCGGTGTGTGCATGTACCTGAGTGTCCGTGTGCCGGTGTGCGCGTGTGCCGGTGTGTCTGTGTGCCCGTGTCCCGCTCAATACGACGAAATCATAGCGGTGAAATGACGCAACATACTATGACAACGCCCCTGTGTATTCACATTTAATTCTCAAAGTAGACAATGCATCTGTAACCTTCTTTATTTGGAGTTTGTAGGAGATGTACATTGGCCGCAGTAGCCATTTCTTCACTAGTATTTAAGTAATAATCTATACCACTTACCATTAGGTTGGTAAGCTTTTATCTCGCTTGTCCTTCATCATAAAAAAGTAAATCAACAAAACCAAACCCAAAAATTTGAAACTAGGTTCGTTTGCCTGGCGCAGCCACCCTGAATCGAATACGGTGCACTAATCCAATGTATTCACCTCTAAGAGTATTTTTACCGCTTTTTTTTTCAATGTTACTGTATTTTTAGGAGAAAATAGTAATCAAACGCTTCAGCACGAGCCCCGAGTAACTTAAAAATTAAATTATGTATGAAGACTCTATTAACTCGATATATTTACCCTTTGTAATTGTTGAAAACCGGTATAAAAAATAAAGCGGGTGGAAAAACGGTACTTGAAGTCCTTCAGAAGCTCTTTAATTCCGTCCTCCATGGAGGCACTACTCCCGAGGTGTGGAGCAGAAGTGTAGTGGTCTTGTTCTTCAAGAAAGATGACTACGCTCTCTTGAAGAACTACAGACTGATATCCCTTCTGAACCGCGTCTACCTGCTGTTCTCGAGAGACGACTTCCAGCCTCCCGAACAAGTTGATTTCCAAAAATGCTTTAACACTATAGACCACATACATACCCTTTGGCAAATTGTACGGAAGTCCGCAGAGTACAATCTGCCACTTTGCCTGGCGTATGTAGACTATGAAAAAGCCTTTGATTCTGTCGAAATTTGGGCGGTGCTACAGTCACTTCAGCGGTCCCAAGTGGACTGTCGGTATATCGAATTGCTGAAGTGTTTGTACAGTAGGGCTACGATGGATGAGTACGAAACCTATCCAACTGCAGAGAGGTGTAAGACAGGGAGACGTTATATCCCCGAAACTATTCACCGCTGCATTTCAACACCTTTTCAAGCTACTGGACTGGAAAGGATACGGTATTAACATCAATGGTGAGTACATCACTCACCTACGATTTGCCGACGATATAGTCCTTATGACAGAATTCGTGGAGGACCTAGGCACTATGCTCAATGACCTCAATAGTGCCTCCCAACGGATAGGTCTTAAGATGAACATAGAAAAAACAAAGATCATGTTTAATGTCCATGTCACACCTATGCCCGTAGTTGTTGGGAGCACTTAGCTCTAAGTTGTTAACGAGTACGTTTACCTGGGACGAATAGTCCGACTAGGTAAGTCCAACTTCGACCGAGAGGTCAATCGACGGATTCAACTCGGCTGGGCAGCGTACTGGAAATTACGACACATCTTCTCGTCAGGTATACCTCAAAACCTAAAAACTAAATTGTACAACGAGTACGTGTTGCCAGTGATGACCTATGGAACTGAGACGTGGTCCTTCACTGCTGGCCGTATGAGAACGCTCAAAGTCGTTCAGCGAGCTATGGAGAGGGCTATGCTTGGGGTTTCTCTGCGTAATAAACTTACATAAAGAAATGAGGATATCCGCAGTAGAACCAGAGTGACCGACATAGCCCAACGGATAAGTAAGGTCAAGTGGCAATGGGCCGGCCATATAGCTCGTAGAACTGACAATCGTGGGGGGAAAAAGGTTCTCGAGTGGCAGCCTCGTACCGATATGCGAAGTGTAAGGCGACCCCTCACGACCTCACGACCACGAGTGACGACCTGGTAAGGATGCAGGTGGCTCAGGACCGTGCTTTGTGGCATACCTTTGGGGAGGCCTATGTTTAGCATTGGACTTGTGGAGATCTGTAATGATGATGATGATGACGAATTGTTAATGATAAATGAATGTGGATAGGCGGCCGTGCTGAAAAATGTTCTATTACATATTATCTAAAAAAGTTAAAATATACACATCCAAAACGATAATATAAACAATCTTTTGCGAATAATTGAGGAAGCAAAAGCGAATAATTGCGATTAATTGAGAATTCAAAAGCTCGCTTAATTTAAACAATCGGGCATATTATTTCACTCGTTCACCACGGTCACCTTTAAATGCTTACATCTTTTTAAATTTATTTTGATTACAGTATATTCTTTTTTTTATTTTGTACTTTAAAAGATAAATCGAATCAAAAATAACCTAACAAAATTAAAACTGATGAGGTAACCATTATTCCACGAACAAATTGCAAGACGCATTGTAAAAGTATTAAAGGAAACGGCAGCATAACTAAAATTCGTAATTAATAGAACCAAACAAAATAAGAATCGTCTTAAACTATCATAATGTACTTTTCTTTCTAAAATATTCAATATTACATCAATGTAACATATTCTTACAATTACTAAAGAATTATATATATGTTTCTAAACTTCTGTACGCAGTGGAGCCCTAGCAAAATTTTTACGTGGTACGAGATATCATAGTGGCGCCCCTCTAAATACGAAACCTATGTACCTATATATATATACCTATGCAGTTGCTTTTTCGCGATTTTAAATAGTATTAGACCTATCAAATAGGTGTATATATGCGAAGCAAGCAC